GGACGTCTGGATCTTAAGTTACCAGAGAAACAAGCTGAGCTAACATTAGCAGCAGCTCGGCTAAGTCCGCTAGCATGATATAATAACCTGAGAACTGTTAGCTTTTAGCCTCTGCTAGCATAGTTAAAAATAAGTCAAATAATAAATGATAATTTAGACAACCAAGATGCAGTACAACTTATTTTTCTTTATTTGTCAAAGCAGAAAATAAAATAAGAACAGTAAAGTAAAAGAAGGAATACAGCGTCTCTGACTTTACAGAACCAATCATGAGGTAAGATGCCTTTATTATGTTTTGTTATGGATCAAGAAGAAGCTAATACACAAACCTTTCATGGTTGCTTTGAGTGTATTCGCACCTCGTAATACACAAACCTGTGAAAACTAAAGTAAACTGCATGAACTCCTACAGCTGAAATCTAAAAAGCATCACTGTACATTGATTGCACTTTCACACATTTTAAAACAGGAGTTTATAAGGAAGTGATTTGGTTTTAGTTAGTCCAGGCTGCGTCCAGATGTTCACGTCCTCTCCGTCTGCATCGCCACTACGAATAAAAAGACATCTCGTCTTTGTAATAAAAAACACTGCCACCCTGTCGAGTCCCAAGTGTTGTTCTTGGCACATAGAAGGTCGGGTATTCATTTACGAGACTTTAAAAACCGACCGTTTTAAGTTCGCCTCGAGCTGTTTCGTGAAGCTCAGGTGTGTCCTCGACTGCTGCAGTCAGTTTTCCCTTCCTCTTGTAAAAACAAAGTTATCCTGCATAATTATTATCATTAATCTAATTAAACTGCTCCTAAGTATTTTTTGAAAAACGCATACAGAGAATAGTTAGTACCAAAAAACCCCAAAAACAAAAAACAACTAGTAAAGTAAAATCACTCCTAACACCAAACGTCATTTGGCAAATAATCTGATAAATCATCATCATAGTGCTGCTGTCAGTATTTACAGTCACATTCCTGTCAGACAAAACGCATCTGAGTCGGTCAGACAATAGATCCAGTTATAAATGTGAAAACAAAAATCAGGATACGAGCTGTTTCCAGACTACCGTTAATGGATAAAGGAAGAAATAAACGGAAAACGACAAAATGTTCTTTTTTTTATGTTTTGAAAGAAGAAGATTCTTAGTTTTTCATTTTTGTTTTGAAAATTTTTGTTTTTTTTAAAATAAAAACTGAAAATAAAGACCCATTTCCGTTGAAATAAAAAACTGAAAGAGCGAAAAAAAAGCAACTAGTTTTCAGTTTTTTTTAGTTTTTTAAAATAAAAAAACAGAAATGGGAAAAAAACACTAAAAATTACTTCTTGTCCATTTTTTGTTTTGAAAATGAAAAAAAACAAACGTCCCATTTCAATTATTTTGAAATTAAAAAATGGAAAACAAACAAAAACAAAAGTTTTTCCTTTTTTGAGAAAAACCATAAAAACAAAATAAAAAAGTTCTCTGTTTATAAAGTTATTGTCAGGAAACAGCTCGTTTTCCAATTTTGTTTTTTCATATTCAAATCGAGGATCCGTTACACTGACCGCCTTCCTGTCGGCCGTTTCTTTCTGATGCCTCTTGTACATGAAAACACACTTTTTACGATGTAAACAGAGACCATGATGTGTCATCCAAAAAGGTCTGTTCACACCGGCATTTAAAACGTCAACATTTTCAGATATTTTTTTTGATCTCAAGTCATTTTCTGGTTTCGCCGAAAAGGGACATTTTCTCCACCGTGATGATGTGAGCTGCTGCTGTACATTGTGGCATCTTTGCTCTGTAGGCGTTTGGGAATGTACTTCCTGCATGAATCAGCATCAAAATGTAATTCTAAAAATACTTTAAAACATGTGGAAAAGGACAATAAATGTTGTAAAAAAACAAAAACAAAGAGTCTGTTATTCCTCGGTAGCCAAGAGTTTACAGCGTGAACGACGACCAGCTATTCCTCAAAGGAGGGAGTCAATCCGGGTGCTCGGGTCTCCGCCTAGCGAGTCTCCGAGGTCAAACAGCTGGTCGAGGTTGACGGTGGAGCTACAGAGGAAATCATTGCGGCCCTGCTCCTCCTCCTCCGGCCAGGGGCTCTCCAGGAAGGCCGTGGCGAGGAAGGTCTCCTCGTCAAAGTCCGACACATCATTATTCCTTTGGGTCTCCGCCAACACGTGGATGTCCACTGTCCCCGCGGGGGCTTCAACGGGGGCGATGTGGGTCCCCCGCACTGTCAGGTCCTCCTCCTTCATGATGGGGCTCAGAGGTTCTTCTCCCTCCAGGCTCAGCTCCCCGCTGAGGGCGGAGTCCAGCAGGGCGTCCCAGTCAAAGTCCCCCTTCAGAGGTCCGATCTCCTTCTGTTCGTCCACGGTGAGCAGCGGGGAACTGGAGCGGCGGGGGTATTTGACGCCACCAATTCTAGAGCCCAGTTTCCTCTTTTGCCCCCCTCTTCCGCTGACCACCGGCCAAGACCCCAGCATGGTGCCTTCAGCCAGATGAGGGTCCCAGTTCTGGTCGGCGCCGGTCGCCTCTTCGAACTCCCGGAGGAGGCGCTGGGACTCCGGGTTGATGCACAACCCACTCTGACCTCCCGCGGAGCCTCTGGACGGCGGCTGGAGGTTGACCCTGAACCTGTTCTGCAGAGCCGGGTTGATCTGGACCGGCGGCATCCGCCTCTTCTTGTACGCACCGCTCAGGAGACGCTCGGCGTACTGCGGGTCAATCTTCCAGAAACCGCCCTTCCCTGGCTCGTCCTTCTGCCGCGGCACCTTGATGAAGCACTTGTTGAGCGACAGGTTGTGTCGGATGGAGTTCTGGAAACAGAGAACGAATATTTTAACATGATTGCTTCAAAAAACACTTATTTTAGACGTCACGTTGAAGGAACTGTTCAATATTTGAGGATTTCGTGGGCTTTTTGGGGGGATTGTTGTTGCTTAAAATACCTGATTCCACAGTAGCTTTTCTAACACATTGCAATGTTTTAAAATAGCAAAAATGGTCACTTCTTTTCATATAAATCATTAAAAATCGAAGGCAACTTGTTCCAGTGAGAATAAAAGCTCATGGCTCAATGTTTTGCTGATATGGAGACTGATATAATCGGTGAAACTCGCAGGAAACTACAACGATTGGTCAAATTTGCGGAAAAGTTTCATTGAGTGGTCTAAAATGGAAATTAGCTTTCTTGCTGAGCACCAACCTTAATTTCAACAATGATTTATAGACCAAAAACTGGGTGATATTCGGTCTTTTTGCCTCCTTTCAACATGTAACAAAACACAAATTTTTTTAACTTATTTTGATAGTTGTAAGTTGACAGAGAGACGATATTGATTAGTGCGAAGGTGTTTCTCCAGAGTGTTTCTTAGAAATGTTTTCCAGGAGTCTTTCTTGACAATACAGGACAGCACTTGCTCACAAAAAGCTACAACTTTGACTGCAACTTTCCTCCTAACCGTAACATTAATCTGTCCACAGCTCGGGCTAAAATACAATAAAACATATTCAGGATATTTGGTCATTTGAATCAATTTCCAGGTGTTTCTATTTTCAGCTTTCAGCTTTAAAGGTGCTGGTAGGTGGATGTTGTTACCTTTGCACACTGCCAGGCTAGCTGTTTCCCCCCGTTTCCAGTCTTTGTGCTAAGCTAAGCTAAACCAGCTGCTGGCTGTAGCTTCATGTTTACCGTACAGACATGAGAGTCAATCTTCCAATGTTGAACTTAAAAACAGAAGTTTATAATGTAAGTCACCTTTAAACTGACTGTGCATCAGCAGGAAGTACAGATGGCATCACATTAATGTACTATGCACCCTTGCGTTCATCCAACTGCCCCCCCCCCACCTTCCTCCTTCCACTGAAGTCTAAACAGAGCTGTGACCTGCTGACCTTTGTTAAATATTATCTGCCCCATGTACTGCCTTACAATAACAAAACGCTCTGAAATGTCTGAGCTAGACGCTGAAACACGGGAGTACAGCTAACGGCTTCATCAATCATTTATCCAGCAAAATTAAACTTAGTTTGAAACCCTTTTTTTCGGAGGGGGAATCTGCTGCCCTCCTCCTTTTACCCCCCCAACCTCTTAACACATTACTTGTTTTTGCTCAAGCAGAACAACCAGTGAGCCTCTTTTAAATGAACAGAATAAGTAAAAATAAGTGTTTTTCCTGCAGGTTTAGTGCAGCTGAGCGAAGTGTCGTTGGCTTCTGGAGTTTATTAATTAGCCACACAGCGAAGTCACTAATACCTGAGAGTGTGGCAGCAGGCCTCGCAGTGTGTTCCTCTCAGATTCAGGTTTTCATTGCTAATCTTTAAATAGAAGCAAAGCCCAGCTGTGAGCCAAAGGACGCTGGAAGTCAGTCCGAGTTGAGGGGGAGAAAGTTTATATCAGTGCTTTCTTAAGGGAGCCATTTTCTATCATTTATTAAACTAATATTTTCTGAATATTTCATATTAAATTCTAAACTGTACAATGAACCCAAACAGTGAACCCAGTAACTGCAGGAGGTTTGTGTAAAACGAGCAGATTATTTCCTGTTTAGGGAAATTTTTATACAATTCTCTGTCTGGAATATGTATTCTTTATAATTTTTACACAATCATACAAACTTAATAGGCTTCTTTTTTGACAAATGAAGTTTTTTTTTTTTTTATTGTTCTTGATGCTTGGCCATTGTTCACAGAAGGGAACCCAATGTTGAGATATCCCACTGTGTATTTTCTAAGTTTCATAGAGCCTCACGACCCCCTGTGAAGCTTTAGCGACTGATATAAAGATAAAAAAGCAGTGCTGTGCTGAAGCATCTGTATTTCTTTAATAGAAGATAAACTTGCATGCTTGCTATTGAAAGGCTTTGTTAGAAATAAATTCACACATTTTGCAGCATCTAACACAGAGTAAAGTCCTTCTGAACGTCCTTTTCTCTCTCTCTATCTTCAGCCTGAAGAAGTTAAAATCAAAGGAAGAGCACCGGCTCAAGAGGAAGCAGCATAAACACGCGTTTCAAGATAAGCAGATTATCAACGATGAGATTCTGCTGAAGAAGGAAGATTCAGCAACACAGATTCAACAGAAAGGTAAAACTTCTATAAAAACTATGTTAACAGTTTCTAAATTACATACCCACACACCAAAATACCTTTAAGAAAAGTTTTCAAGATTCTACAACATATTTTTTTTAAATAAATATATTGGTTCAAGATATGTGATTAATATTACAACTGGAAGACATGAGACATGAGAAGACAAACAGCAACAACAAAAACGAGTACAAATTAGAAAAAGTACATAACTAAATAAATTCAAGCTACTAGAAGTGCAGTGAATAATCACCAGAAATAAGAATATTCAAAGAGGTTCAGGGAGAGAATTAGCACCAGGTTGGACTCTGGCAGGCAGCAGTAGTTTTTAATGAGATGCATGTTAACCTAACGAGAGTCTATCCGTCACTTTTTTCCCTTGTTCCCTCTGTGCTGTCAGCCTGGTTGCTGTACAGGGATCGATACCTTCTGCAGATCAGCCAGAACTTGGAGCTACTGCGAGAGGAGAAGGGCCTCCACGTGTCGGTCCTGGCCAGCAGCCTGGGGCCCTGGCTGGAGCTGGACTCGTCGAGGGGGAACCAGCTGGCCGGGAGGATCCTCAACTGGCAGCAGGAGCAGCTGGAGACTCTCAGTCAATTTGTTGAGCTGCTACTGGAGAGGAAGAACCGGGTTTGGGCTCGAGTGCTTGTCCAAACACTCAGTAACTGTCTGGATATAAATCCTAAACTCAGCAACTGGGCGTGTCAGCTCAACAATGCAGGTCAGCATTTAACGTGTTGCATTTAAAGGGAATATGTGTTTACTGGGGGTTCGAGGAGCATCTGCGTACAGAAGTCATATAAAAGTTATGGATTTTAACATCAGCTCAAAGTCTGACCGACGTACTTTCTGCTTTCTTCAGGTCTCAACGCTGCAAAATCCTTCATTGAGCGCTACTCAACACAGTTGGAGCAGCTGGACTTGTCTTTTTTGCTCAACTTTGGTCCCCTGCAGGAGGTGATTATAGAAAAGCTCGGTACTAGACCGGAGCTGTTTTCAAGCATTGGCTTGACTGTGACTGAATACCTAAAACAGGCGCCGCCAGACGACATGAGACTGTTTATCTGGACTCTGGAGGAGCATAGAGAGGAGTATGTGTCCTGCCACATTATACTGGAGGAATATTTTGATATGATGGGTACGTATATTTAACTTTAACATTTAAATTTGCAGGTTTTTTACTTTTTAACTTCCTGTTCTGACTTCTGATTGTTTGTTTTTCAGACGGACATTGTTCAGTCTTAAAAAAGTCTGATGAAAATCAAAATGTAAGTCTTTAGAAACTTTAACAGCAGTTTGTTTTGCTGGTTGGTTATTTACTGGATGGAAGTCGGCTACCACGCAAACAAAAACTTAAAGGAGGAGTTCGACATTCTGGGAAATAAACTTTTTGTCTTGTTGGGAGATAAAATGGTTTAAAGGGGCATCAAACTGTGCAGGTGTAATCAGATAATTTTGGCAATTAAAGTTATAAAATATAAAGAAAACCAGACAACCACAATTTGGACCTGACACCCCGCAGAGGCAATAGTTGTCTCTTGAAAGCAGCACAGAGACTGGAAAACATCTGGTTTAAAAACAGCCCTTTGGAAAGATAAGTTCAGTGGATTTTTAAGATTTTTGGGAATCTGCTGACACGGGGTTTTGCATTATGGGACCGACATCAATTGAGATGTGACATAACTTCCTGTTTTCACTGCAACTTACAATAAGTTGTACATTTTTTTTAACTATCAAAATTGTAATAACAACCTTACAAACAAACAACTATGAGGGTCCATAGTTTCTACGTGTCCAGTTTCGCACAGCTCGGTCTCACCGCCTGGGAGGAGTTGAAAAAATAAAAATAAAAATAGGTAATGTTTTTGGTTACGTTACAGGTGTAAATGGGTGATACCGGTGTCACAAGAAGCTCAATTCAGGAAATGTGTGGATGTAAAGTTTTCAAATATACAATGTAGTTCGGTTGTACTTGAGTTCTCGTCAAAAACATCAACAATCATCATTATTTTTGCAGATTTCATGACTTCAAATTAATAATAATGGCACCAGATTTTAAACAGTGTCTCAGGAAACTACTGGACCAAGTTTTGTGTTAATAGAAGTGATTGTTGATGGATATATGAGACTTCTAGATTAAATAATGAACAGGTTGAAGCTTTTTCTCTTAATCTTTTCTTCTAAATAAATAGATAAATTAATGTAATGTATTAAATTGCACTTTCTGTGGTTTTAAAAAGCACCTCTAAAGCTCACTAATTAACACATTATCTCTGTTTTCTATGTTTAATTTTTACCAAAATGTGAAAACGTGCGACACATTGCGAGGCAAAGGCACATTAAACCTATAAAATCAAACATTTCTCAAAATGTCGAACTATTCCTTTAATGTGGTTTAACCCGACTGATCCATCTTAATATTAAATGAACCATTAAACTCGAGCTTAGTGTTCATTCTCGAGTTTATTCCCATTTCAGAATTCTCCTATGAAGAGTCGAGGACGGAAAAAGAAACAGAAAGAGCCGAAGGTCAGAAGGAGTTTGGTTGATAGTTGTTCATTTTAAAGACTCTTAACGTCCATGTATCATCAGTCTCAAGTGCTTTCTCTCGTCTTCCTCTCAGGGTGTTTTTGTTTGGTCGGGGTCGAGAACCGTACCGAGAGAGGAATGGGACCAAGACTTATTTGAAGATGACTCTTTGTAAGTTTCGCACACAGATTGTATCGTAATATAAACGTAATTATAACTAATAAATGACGTTGAGCTCTTTCCGTCCGCAGATCATTCCTTCACCCCGGTGATCCGTTCAGTGTACCTAGTCACCTTCGAGAGCAAGTGGCCGATTTTGAGGACCAGTACAACGGCACCAGAAACAGAAGTCACTATAAAAACATTTTGGACAACAACCCCGACCCGACAAAAGAGAGTTTGTATGAGTAAGTGAAATATAGTTCAGTGCAGCAAGATTTCCTTTAATTTCCCACATTTGTGAATTAGTTTGACCACATTAAAGGTCCAGTGTGTCACATTCAGGACGCTCTGTTGTCAGAAATGTAATATAATATTCATATGTATGTTTTCATTCGTGTTTAATCATCTGAATATAAGAATTCATGGGTTTTTGTTACCTTAGAATGAGACTTTTTGAGTCTGAGTCGACTTCTCAGTTGATTTATTCCCTCAGTAAACAGTTTCCTGATGAGTTTCTCGGCTCTAGTGCTCTAGTTTCAGTCTTCTTCCATACAGCATGATGATCATTTAGTAACTGATGGTCCCATTTTAGAGTCAAACAGACCATAAAGCAGGGTATGCTTTAGGGCGGGGCTACCTTGTGGATTGACAGGTCCATTCTCAGTGAGTCCGTCCAGCTTCAACGCACCAAAACTCAGGATCAAAACTGTCAAACAGGTGCTGATTCAGATCTGGATCCAGATTCTGTTTATCTGGAGTATCAGATTGTGTTAATGGACGTCTCTCTCTCCTCCTGCTGCAGCTACTTTGCTCAGATCCTGGAGGAGCACGGCCCCCTGGTTGCCGAGGACCCTCTGCTGGTGGGAGAACTGGAATATTTCCCTCCCGTTGCTCAGCAGAAGATCCAGGAAGCTGGCGGCTTCGAGCCTTTCCTCCTGGAGTCCCTTCGCTTCATAAAGATGGGGAGGTCCATCGGCCTGGCTAAGCACGCCGTTTCCCTGCAGCAGGCTGGACACGGACCCAGCCTGGACGAACTGGACGACCTGGACGACTTGGACGACCTGGATCTAATAGAGGACTCGAACTCTGCTGATTTTCAGGCAGCTCATGATCCGGCTTACACAAGCCACCTGGACCAGTACTCATCTGCACTGACTCAAGTCTATTCCATCCTCCCTAGCCCTTATGACTCCAGCTTCCTGTCGGCGGGTGGCGTTACTCTGACTGTGAATGATCCGTATTCTCATTGGACTGCCCTGGGCAACTTTTTACCTAACAGCTACGAGGAGCTGGATCTATATTCCGAGGAGGGCGAAGGTGGAATTTGTGATCAAACTTTAGGCGCCTTGGCGACGACGGAGGAAAACTTTTGTAAGAAGCACGCAGCAGTGCAGGTTAGTACCAACAGTTCACTGTGTAAATACAGTATATGGAAACACATGAAGGAACACTGAGCTGTGGTTTAAATGCTCTTTATGTTCTCTCAGACGTGTCCGGAGGCCATGAGGAGTGTGGCGGTGAATACTGAGCTTCATGAGCGCTTCGAGAGCTGCCAGGTGAGTTCTTATTATCTGAAACTGTCTTAGACGGATGCTGACGTATTCTAGGGCTGCACCATATAGTAAACATATCGTAATGAGATTATTTTTACAGATATTCTGATTCACAATGATCATTTCTGCATCACAAATTGAACAAAAACTATTCAAATCGTTTAAAAAATGGGGTTTTTTTTAAATGTGGAGGATTTGTAGACCCGGGCACCTCTGCAGTGTTTCAGCACTTCATTATGATTCTGATCATATTTTATCTTTAATAAAAACATTACAGCTCTTTACATTTGTGTCGCACTTCTATATTATGATTTCAATAATATTTGGATTCACTGTGCAGCCGTACTTTATTCGCCTTTCCAATGTTGTATCATGTTTTATGTCGTCACATATTGTATTTTAATTGTTGTTGTTTTAGTATCACTTTATTTTTTCTTTTATATGAATATTTTGCGCTTTTATTTTTTATCTTTTGTGTGTTTATGGTGGCGGCTCACGTGAGTTTCTGATTCTTTGTTCTGTGTATCCTTTAATCTGGAAAGCTGCTTAAGCTTGAAAAGTGCTTTATAAATAAAATAATTATTATATCCGTTTGACAAAACCACAATTATCTTTCTATGGTTTCCAATAGAGCAGGTCCAGACCGTACTCCTTATAAAACGATTTACCCGTTCCAACCATGAGCGAGCACTTGGCGACAGCGGCAAGGAAAGACTTTCATTTAAGAGGCTGAAACCTCGAGCAGACTCCGGCTCTAAGCGGTCGGTCGTCTGTATCGACCAGTTGGGATTTTTTTATTCTATTTAGGAGTTTAAAAATAAAATCTCTAACCTCAATATTTACAGACTAGTTGTATTTTAGCCGCTCACTCAGATCTACACCACATATTTTAGTTTAACTCTTGCAGAACGACTCTTTAGAACAGCGATGTTCTCAGTATCAGGGTTTTTCTGAAGCTGTGAGCAGAATTCTCCCAGACGCTGACCACCAGTGTGAGCGAGTGTGTTTTAAGTCTTTACTGATTTCATTGACTCCTTTTTGGCCTTTTCTCATTCTTCCAGGGTGACATCAACAAAAAACAAAAGGCTATCAAGAACCTGAAGGATCAGATCCTGAAAATGGAGAACAGCTGTGACGAAATCAACAGGAGATACCAGGAAGAGCTCGCGTTCCTCGAGGAGGAAATCCACAAGATCTCCACCAACATACAAGTGAGCGGTTATTAGAGAGGAGTTAAAGGTACAATGAGCTGAATCTGAGTGACTAATGGTTGTTTCCTGCCGTCCAGGTGACCAATAAAGAGCTGGTGCTGTTCCAGCAGAAGCTGGAGGAGGAGGTGAGGAAGGACCAGAAGGAGAAGAAAGCCAACCAGGAAGTGCTGAAGACCCTGAAGGCGGAGATGGAGGAGTTGGTGGAGGAACACGGGAGGTGAGACCGTTTAAAGATGAGTTTAAATAATGTTTTACTCATAAGTCGCTCTAAACATTAATGTTTGTATATTTGTGTCTTTTTTCACGCAGTCTTTCCCGAAGCATCCGAGAGAAAAAGAAGAACTATGACACAAGGTTGAAGGATTTCCTGGAGCTGAGGTGAGTGCTGCTGAGCGACGGCTGAACTTCAAATAAAATCCTGGCAGACTTTTTATTTGACTTCTGTCTCGTTGTTGGTTCAGCAATCAGTCGGCAGCGGAGAAGATGAGTCTGGAGGACGAGATCAAACGCTGCAAGGTCTCGTTTACCTCGGCGACCAGGAGGTCTCACACGGCTCAGGTGGGTTCCTCGTTCCTGATCACATCTCTGACAGGCAGCCAGGTATCGACCCATTCATGATGTTAAAGAGTTCTTTAAAAATCCTCCATCAGTCCAACTTTAATAACAAAATACAAACATGTAAAGATATTTGTTTATGCTGGCTGGTGAACTGTGTGATACCGGTTCATATAATAATAAAGTGGGTTGGAATCATTCAGAACATTTAAATTTAAACGTACTCGCACAGTTTAACACAATAATCTTCTACAATAAATCAATTTCTTCCAATATTTAGTGGTATAAGCAGTTTAGGAGCATTTTTTGGAAGCAGAACATTAAATTAGCAAAATAAAAGGACATAAAATTGCCCCAAAAATTGATGAATCGTTATATATATGACTGGACGATATATTCGTCCAGTCAGTTCAGGAAAGACTAGTTGTATGTCTTCTTTACTTCCAACAATCATAATATTCCTCTTACTAGCCTCATATTTAATGTCAAAATCAATTGATAGCAGCAGACTCAAAGCTCTTCTATCAGTAAAGAAAAAACAGTAAAGCAGATTTCTATCAGTAAACTAACTGGTTGCAGTGGTTTTGATCATTAAATGCTGTTTAACTGCAGCTGTCGGTGATGGAGAGCAGTCGGGATCAGGGTCTGTACGGCCTCTACAGAGAGCTGACCAACGCCAAGGCTCTGCTGAACAAACTGGACGAAGCCGTTCACCGGTAAGAGGCCGAACGCCACCGCCGCAACCCGCCTTCGCCAGAGACAGCGGCCGCTTCACGTCTCATATCTGTCCGTCTTTTTTTCCAGACACCCAAACCAGGACCTGGAAATGACCAGAAACAGCTGGAGAACCAACGTCCAGGAGATCGAACGCAAAATCTCTGCTGCCGAGGTGAAAGGATGAAAAGAATATCACGATCAATTCATTGAAGAGCTAATAGAGCAGATGTTTGATAAGAGCAGATGTTTGATAAGAGCAGATGTTTGATAAGAGCAGATGTTCAGTCAGTCTCTCTGTGTTGGTCCACAGACTCAGTACCAGGAGCAGAAGGATCAGGTGAAGAATGGTAGAAGAGTCAGCGAGTTGCTTCCGGTCAACGTGAACCACCAGTCTGAACCTCCAGCTGCACCAGTAAGACCACATCAGATAGACCAGTACAGCTCGATGGAGGACGGGCTGCTTCTCTTTCTTTATACATTAAAGCCTTTTTATGGACGAAACGACTGATTTCATGAATAAAATAAGAAAAAGATAAAATGAAGAAGAGCAGGTTTACAGGTTTTAACTAAAAACAGTTAATTGAGTTATTCTTGTTGCTCTGAGACACTTTTATTGTGAAAATCCAGACTAAGGTCAATAAAAACAGACCAATCAGAGCAGATAGTGGAGTCTCTGTCAGAAATGACTCATTAATAAAATGAATCTGTTGATGTTGCAGACGTCCTCAACCTCCCACGGCTCTCCCACCCTCCCCCAGCAGTCTGCGGCCGAGCCGGCGGCCCCCCCGCCTCAGATGCAGCACAAACCTCCGACCAGGCCCCCGGAGCCTGCACACAGCACCGTGTTCGACAAAGGCATGGAGCGCCTGTCCGCCATGTTCCCCGACTACACCAGGTAACGCTGACACAGGTGGCTGCTGGGATGTGGAGTCTTCAGGACTCTCTCCTTTATTGGCATTATTTTTACCAACATATTGTTTTTAACTGCCGAATAACAAACTCCAGTATTAGTCGGTCTGTACTTCCTACAACAAGTTCAGCATTTTTTAATTATAAGATGTATTTGGTAAGTTGAGTTGTTTATGATCAAACATTTTCACAAAGAACAGAAACAAAGGAGGAAACGCTGCCGTTAGACTTACAGACACTCGAGGACGNNTATATTTATATTTATTTTCTGTTTCGTGTTCAGGTCGGACTTGATGAGGTTCGTTCAGGAGCTGCGTTCGTCCAGCGGCGGGAGCCTGGCCAGCATGGCGCTGCAGGATATGGTCGGTGGAGTGACCCAGCTGATCCTGGACCATCAGGTAGGTGGTTCAGTGTTTACACAGACCAGAGACCAGCTCCTCACCGCTCACACGTTCACTGACTGTGGACATTGTTGGCAGCGTCACTGAAGATGTCAGTTAATGATCAGAGTTCTTGATTCCTGAAGGAATTCAGTTCAAAGTGACTTTATTTATACTGTAAACAACAGAGTAAACAACAGAGTAAACAACATTCAAATGCCTCCAGGAGAGTTAGCTGTACCTAAGAGTGTCCATAAACATCAACACATCTGTCTCTATTCCACCATCTTTTAATAATTCCCTCTAATTGTCAAACATTTACAATCACACTGTGATTCTTCTGTAGTAGTCAGAGTTAATTTAATGAAACAGTTCAGTTACAGACACAGAGAGAGAGAGAGAGAGAGAGTTACAGTGAACACAGAGAGAGAGAGTTACAGTGAACACAGAGAAGAGCAGGAAAGGAGAAGTTAAACAATAAGACACTACAGAGTGAAGCTGGTGATTTTATATAAACTTGTTCCTCAGATGTAACTTCCAGAAAAACAAATCTCACATTCAGTAGTTTGTTCCCGCTCCGTTCTGTCTCCTGTGAACGTTCAGTATTGATCAGACTGGTTGTTGTTGTTGTTGTTGTTTCTCAGGAGAAGATCAATTCTGGTGCCAAACCAAACATGATGGGACGCAGGAGTCCGGCTCAGTACGCGGCCCCCCCTTACACCGCCCCGGTCTGGCAGACGTTCGGACCTCAGAGAGTCACGCAGTCAAACGCAGTAAGTCCAGAACCATCCAGTGAGAGCAAGCTGCACTGATATTGATTATTGATTACTGATCTCACTGAGTCTCTGTCTCGATCGCAGCTCAACGTCGAGGATCCGTGCATCATCTGTCACGATGACATGAGTCCGGACGACATCTGTGTGCTGGAGTGTCGACACGGTTTCCATAAGGAGGCGAGTGAACGTGTTTTAATGGTTCAGGTTGTGGTCTGCAGGTTTAAGGTGGAATGAGTCCCTGCAGGTTTAAGGTGGAATGAGTCCCTGCAGGTAGAATAAAGGTATAGAGTCCGTTCTGGTTTTAACGCGCGGCCTCTGTTGTGTGTGTGTGTGTGTGTGTGTGTTCAGTGTATCCGGTCGTGGCTGAAGGAGCAGAGCACCTGTCCCACCTGCAGAGATCACGCTCTGCTGCCTGAAGATTTCCCCGTGCTGCCTGGAAAGAGACGCCAAGCCCCCTGATGTGTCTTAACCCTGCTGCCCCCCCTCCCTCCTCCAGTATCTGTATCTGCTTTTATCTTTTTTTTATCACTCGTTTCATTAAAATCTAAAGCATAAACTTGAGTTTATTGTACCCTTAAAATGTTCAGGCATGCAGAAAGGCACCAGTTTATACTGAATACTGAATAAAACTTCTTGTTTGAACTCCTCCGTCTGTTCTCTGAAGTTACAATACACAACTTAAAATGACTTTTTGTCTGGAGTCTGGTGATACTACGACTGTTTCTGGTTAAACAAACTCTCTCGTCGGCTCAGGACGGCTTTGCTCCTTCACTAGTTTCCATTTTCATAGTAAAGAAATGACAAACAATTTACTGACAGATCGATGATGTAGGTCAATCTGACAGAAGAGCGCCCCCTGCTGGATCACACGGGAAACTACCTTAAAGACAACTTCTACATTCTGAATTTGAAACAGGTCATTAAACAACTTTAACTTGTGGTCCGTTTACACACTTTCAGATGATCACAGGTTCTTCATCAGCAGGCATTTTACTTTTCACTATAACGAGCAGTAAATTAGGATTTTGGACATTTATTCATAATTTTGTGTTACTGATCGTATAGTTTTGCAACTATAATACGCAGCATTGC